CCTTCTCTCAGCTCCACCACTTTCCCAAGCCAAGGTTGTTTGTCAAGGCCATGAGACAGAACCTTCTCAGTGGTGGCTCCCAGGCTTTGCAATGTGATGTCCCAAGAAGCAAGGTTGGCCCCTCCCTCTTCTCCTTCCATCGTCAGGCAAAGACTTTCCTTTTCAAGCAGGCTTCTAAGCAATAAGTGTCTCAGGAATGTTTGCTTATTAAATTTAGAGATTTTTCAATGTTTTCTAAATGTTTTTACAATTGTTTAAAATCTTTGTTTCAACCTTAACATATGTTTAATTGGTTTTTAAAAAAATGTTATATATATGGTATTTTAAAACTGTTAATTGTTGCATAGTTTTAGTGAGCTGTCTTGAGTCCCCTATGAAGGAAAAGGCAGCAGAAAGAAAGAAAGAAAAAAGAAAGAAAGAAGAAAGCTGTACAAACCTAAGTAGACATAAGCTTGTGTAGAAAAAGGGTGTCAACACAGAAAGAAAGAAAGAAAGAAAGAAAGAAAGAAAGAAAGAAAGAAAGAAAGAAAGAAAGAAAGAAAGAAAGAAAGAAAGAAAGAAAGAAAGAAAGAAAGAAAGAAAGAAAGCTGTACAAACCTAAGTAGACACAAGCTTGTGTAGAAAAAAGGGTGTCAACACTTAAGCTTCGTGGTCTCGTTACTCACCCCATAGCTAGGATCTGAGAGAAAACCCTCTTTGGCGGTCAGCCATGCCTCAGCTAAGTCCAGCTCCCTTCGCAGTAACTGGTTCTCCCAATTTTCTTCATACAGTTCTTTCTTCAGGTCCCAGCATTCCCTCACCTTTCTCATCAGCTCCAATAGTTCAGAGAGTTTCTCTTCAATCTGTAAAAACAAATTCCAAGACTGGCATTTCATTTGCCTATAGAGGCAGAATTTGTCACACCTCTCTAGAACAATTCAAGAAGAGTGGTTTTCTAAAGGCATTTTCAGCAGGAATATAAACAGCCTTGCATTGTCACTCTATCAATGCCTATAGAGCCTATAGGTCTATAGAGCCTGCGTTCTGAGCACACTCCTGTACTGCAGTGAGTCCTGGACCCTTTGTGCACAGCAGGAGAGGAAGCTGAATATCTTCCATATGCGTTGCCTCTGACACATTTTTGGTATCACCTGGCAGGACAAAGTTCCCAATAGAGTAGTCCTAGAACAACTTGGAACTTTTAGCATATATACATTACTGAAACAGCGACGTCCACATTGGCTTGGGCATGTCGTGAGAATGGCTGATGGTTGGATTCCAAAAGATCTCCTATATGGAGAATTAGTGCAGGGAAATCGCCCCAGAGGGAGACCACAGCTGCGATACAAGGACATCTGCAAGCGGGATATGAAGGCCTTAGGAATGGACCTCAACAGATGGGAAACCCTGACATCTGAGTGTTCAGCCGGGAGGCAGGCGGTGCACCATTGCCTTTCCCAATTTGAAGAGACCCTTGTCCAGCAGGCCGAGGCAAAGAGGCAGTCATGGAAGCAGCAAAATCAGGGAGCTGGACAGGGGACAGATTGGATTTGTCTTCAGTGTGGAAGGGATTGTCACTCTCGAATTGGCCTTCTCGGCCACACTAGACACTGTTCCAAGTCCTCCATACAGAGCACGTTACCATAGTCTTTCGAGACTGATGGATGCCTAACTAACAGGTAGAATTTGTCACACCTCTCTAGAACAATTGAAGAAGAGTGGTTTTCTAAAGGCATTTTCATAAGAAATAAACAGCCTTGCATTGTCACCTTATCGATGCCTAATAAGAAGGAAGATATATACTCCAATAAAAGAATGTGTAGGATTCAAGGCCAGACCATTAGTTAAACTGCAGTGCTGGCAGGTGGCGAGGTGCTGGGAGTAGTGATTCCTGCTCCTGCTCTTTGCTTCCTGAGTTGACCACTGCTGCCCCCACCTACAAACCTCTGCTAAGGCACTCCCCATGGCACTGCAGCACCTACCAGAGAGGAGGAGGAGGAGAAACAGGAGGGGGCAGTGTTGGTGGCTCTCTCCCCATCTGTGTCTGCTTGCACACACCCCTCAGCTGCCAGCATTGAGAATAATGACTCAGGTCCCTGGGGGACTAGGCATTATGGGGAGAGGTGGCCAAAAACAACAACAACAACAAAAAACTAAAGCCATCAAAACTATCCTGTTAATTATTTCCTATGTTAGCATTCTGTGCATGCCTGTTAGCAAGCACTATGGATCAAAAGATATTGTGCAGATATTCAATCATTCCTTTCTGAGCAGATCTTCCATGTCAGGAAAAAAGACAGAACACAGGGTGGGAAAACAAGTGAGGGTCACAAGAAGAAGCCAATGGGCTGTTCGACTAAATGTTATGAACAATGCAGCACAGTAAAAGTATCAACTGGAAACAGTCATGCATCTGCAGGTTCAATATTTATCAGAAAAGACACATCCACCTTTTTTTGTGGCCTGCAAGTAACATTCAAAGCTTCCAAGCAGCTATTTACAACTAATGGTTGTTGTTACGTGCCGTCAACTCACCTCCAACTGATGACAAGACTATGAATGAAAGATCTCCAGAATGTCCTGAACTCAACAACCCTGCTCAACTCTTGCAAACTCAAGGCTGTGGCTTCCTTTAGGAAGTAATGGGTTACTTGTAATTAACTTTTTTACGAAATAACTAAGGCATAAGTAAACTATGTTATTATTGTAAAATACAATGGATTAAGTCACTGTTTCTGCAGTGGGTTGGGTTCTTTTTAAGAAGAAAGATACAGTATAAATAAAAAAGTAAATAAATAAAAAAATAAATAATGTAACTGTTGTGTTTAGTTATTTTTTATTGTCTAAAATCCTATTGGTGATTTATGCTTATGTAAGGGAACTCACACAAATCACAGTGGGAAATACTGCTTATTAGACAAGACATTGGTTGTGCTCCTAGGCATGTGTAACATTGTTCAATAACAGCAGTTTGTTGCCACAATTTACACACTTTCCCTTATACAAATACAATTTTTTTTAAAAAAGTATCTTTCCAAGTTCTAATATCTGCATTTAAAATAAAAAAAAGAAATAAAAGCTCTGTGATTTCTCATTGTATGTGTGACGTACACAACAGCAATCAGATCTTTTAAGAAATTCTGAAGAGGTTTTATCCTCTGTTGATCTTCAGCTCTCCTTACAAATCAAACAGAAGGCAATCCGAGTATCACTGCAAAGGTCAGTGGATGAAGTTACATAGATATCAAGACTGTGGTGAGCTTTTCAAATGAATCTTTATGCTGTTCTTCTCTCCATAGCAACCAGTGAAGGAGCAGGTATTTGGTGAAACTTCAAGAACCTTCCAATTGCTCCGTTTGTTGTGTATTATGGTGCTTTTCTTACTCTGATCTGCACAGTATTTGAAGTTTTAGGTCACAAGACTTAAGGTTTATGCATTTTCTTTTGAAGCCTTCTCTCAGCACAAGGGTGCTTTACATGCTAGAGCCATATTCTGTCCTCACAATAACCCCCTAAAGAAGGGAAGACTGGCAGAGAGTGACATGCACTCCGGTTTGCTTACAGTTGGGAAGAAACTTGAACTTGGTTCTCCTATGTCATGGGGCTGAAGCTGCTGAAACTAAAGTGTGACAACCGCCTTGTAATTAAAGCACACGGAGAGAAATGTATTCATATTTGCTGAAAGCATGCTGGACATTCAATTGCAAATTCTGTGTGTGTGTGTGTGTGTGTGTGTGTGTGTGTGCGTGTGTGTTTGTGTGTGTGTGTGTGTGTGTGTGTGTGTGTGAGAGAGAGAGAGAGAGAGAGAGTGTTGGGGAGGGGAGAAGAAGTTACATTCCTTTAAACTTTCAGAATAACCTGGCACGCTAAAGTTAATGAGAACATATGCAGCTATAAATATGCCAGTATTTATAGTGTCTTGAACCACATTTTGACCCTCCCTGTGCTACTTCAGGCCTTTTCCTCCATGAGCCAAAAAGAGAGAGGAAAGGGCTTGGTTTTACAGTGCATGAAATCCTCCCGCGACTTCCAAGCCACAGAGAAGGCTATCCGTGACCTTTCGCTGTGTTTTTAAGAAATAGCTTGGGCTCCAGCATGTGTTTCATCAAATACATTCAGTCAAGTACATCTAATGGACCAGCAGCTTACCTCGGTGGACATGAAGTGCCCGGCCTTTGTGAAGCTGTTTCCAGTTTGTTCTAGATGTTCATATTTCAGCTGTTGCTTTTCTATATCACGCTTGTGCTCCTCATGGCGTTTAATAAGGAGCTCGGCACCAAGAAGATCACTTGCCACCTCCTCTGATATCATCACAGCATGCATCTCCTTGGCCCAAGCCCTGAAGAAGCAAATGAACAGGCAGGTGTTGAACGTTAATGTTTCCCCAGAAATAACACCGAAAGTAATGCTATTAATGGAGATGGGGTGCACATGGCTGTTTATTTGTTCACATTAAAACACAACCATTTGGAATGTGTTGTACTATGGTGCATGCAGGTATCCGCGTAACTAGGTAGTTTGCCAAATCCCTCTGAAGTAAACTGATTTCATTGTGCCAGCTGTATTACTTTGAAATTGGAATGGACATACTGCAGTTTCCACACCACCTGTGGCTCCATAGGAATCAGAATATCACAGGGGCCTTAGGAGGTCCTTGGGGTGCTGATGTGGCCCATGGGCTTCTGGAAGTTGCTGATCCCTGCTTTAATGCACCTAAAGATCTTCATAGTGCAAAAGGGAGAGCGGAAACTCTCATTTCTATCATACTCATTCATACGTACATTAGTTCTCTGCAGTCATTGAAATAGATCTGGATTTGCTTTGCCTGCTGCAGTTTTTGCTTTCTCTCTGCTGACTTATGTTCCAGTTTTTCCCAACACTCATCTATTTCTGCAAGTCTGTTCATCATGTTGTCTCGGGTCTGGGGATACAGACGGCCAAGATGCCATGCCTCTCCTCTGATCCTTTCCAGCTCTTTTGCGATGGCTGATAGTTCTCTCTGGAATACAGAAAGGAAAAGCAACTGAAGGACTCAGCACTGAACTACAGGAGATAACTATTGTTTCTTTTTGATGCCATCTCATATCAGCCATTGACTAGATAGACTGAAGTATTTTCTTAATTTTGTTTACCTTTTTATTCTCAGCTACAGCGGTGCATCTAAGCATGAGTAGATGTCCCACTTTCCCACAACACATCCAGGCCATCTCTCCCACATGTGCTTGGACTTAAGGGGAAATGCATTCAGAACAGGGGGTGTGATTTCTAGACAGATGCAAGCCGGGAGAAACTTTGAGGGGCAAACCATAGGTAAGCCATCATTAAAAGAGGACATTTCTTAACTTCTAACAGCACGTGATTTGTCATGGAAAGACCTTTCTTATATCGCATAGTTTACAAACTAACTTACATTGTTTTGTGGTTGGTCTTTAGGAGCTAAACATATCTGCAAGTCTGATTTCTCACAGACAAAATCTGCTAAACGCATGTCTCTGGAATACATATGTGATTTCAACTCTATTGAGAGGTTATCTGTAATGGGTAGCTTTGCTCTCAGTTTAGTTGGATTACAAGCTGAAAAATGATTCTGAACATTAATTTATAAATGTGTGACAGCAATGAATATACACCTCTGTAAGGCAGTGAAGAAACACCACAGTGGAATCTCTGCAAAATGAGACAGTATTTATTTGGCTTTTATTTATCACATACAGTAGTTGTTTCAAGGCAGTCACAGCATTATGTACCTCAGCTCCTTCATGCTGGTTGAGGAGGGTCTGAACGCCTGGCAGGTCATAGCCATAATCGTCTCTGTCCACAACAGCCCCTTTCTCCTGCATCCATCCCTTTAGGTCATCCACATCACGATCATACTGGTGAACCTTATGAGCCACTTTGAGATTCTGAAGAGAAGACATTTCAGTAAGGCCATACATACTATCACAAGTTTAGCAGACTACTGAAGTCCAGGAGATACAAAGACTGGAGAACTGATGAATACCCCTAAAGCACCATGCTTTTTTCCCTTTTTGTTTCCCCTGTTTAATAGTTGTTTATTTGCTGTACATTCCATGTTTTACTTGTATATTTTATGCCTCTTGAAGTTTTTACTGGTTTTTTACCTGCTCATTATTATTGTTTGTTTGAACTTCCATGAACTGCCCAGAATAGTGCTTGGAACTAATGGGCCAGTATATAAATCTAAGAATGAATGAATGAATGAATGAATGAATGAATGAATGAATGAATGAATGAATGAATGAATGAATGAATGAATGAATGAATGAATAAAACAAACTGTGGCAGCCCAAGGTGCATCCTGACCATATGAAAACTTCACCTATATCTTTAATAGATATTTTAATAAATATTTATTTTTAACAAATAGAGCTCATGACGCTGGTTCATACAGTAGAAAGGGGAGGCCTTTCTCTCAGTCTTATCACCCTCAGAGATGCATTTGGTGGGGACATGGGGAGAGGGCTTTCTCTGTCACTGCTACCAGACTTTGGAAATTTTTTGCATCAATAAAGGAATTAGAAAAGATCAAGTATAAATATGTGTCACTAGAGACCAAGACCAAGATCATCCACACTCCTGTATTTTCAGTCACCATATATGACATGAAAGCTGAACACTGAAAAAAGCTGACAGGGGAAAAAACAGATTCACTTGGAATGTGTTGCTGGAGGAGAGTTCTGTGGTATAGTTCAAGACAAGGTAACAATGTTTTAAATAAATAAATAATTCAGTTTTATCTGGAGAAAGGTACCATGTGCATCAGCTATAAGGTGCATTACCAGTTACAAATGTAGCAGCATCATTTGAACTGAGGTAACTGGAAGAATTGCCACAGTACAGAAAAATGTGGATACTACATTTCTCTATGTGAACTTGTGTATGATCATAGGAATATGTGGGTCAGCTTTTCACTACAGTTTTTGGCTGTGAAATAGCTCATAGAGTACACTTCTGTATTTCAGTATCACCAGCAGCATCACCTTAATGGTTCTATCACAACACTAGAACCTTATGTGTGTGCATGTGGGTCTCGTCTCTGGGTGCCTGTGTGAATTTCGTTGTATGGGTATACCATGTATATATAGTACTTACAATGAACAATAAATTATTTGTATTGTATTGTATTACCTCTGCTCTTATCTGAATGGCTTGATTCAGTCTTTCCCATGTTTCGTTGACCTGGTGGGCCTTTTCCTGGATAGCACTGATTTGGCTGTGGCACACATTCTCGAGATGGAATGCCAGGTCATTTACCAGGAAAACCTTGGCATGACCAAGAGATCTCACCTCTTTTATAAAGTCTTCAAACTTTTTCTCCAGAATCTGTAAGAAACAATAGTACAGATTATTCAGAAGCTCTCCAACCTACAAAAGCCACCAGCTTCTTACCAGCTTATGTGACATAATATCAGTACATGAGATATAACAGTGGTGAGCAGAAATATGAGAAGTTGCACAAATTAAAAATAATGCTGTGTCCTAGTTATTTCTGGTTGCTTCCAGGAGCTCTCACCAAACTCAGTAAGATAAAAAGGACAAATGCTTTTACACCTACTCCAAGTTTAGTGACACGAAACAAAAGTGCCCATTATTGTTCCTAAGGTTTAAATGATATTTCATGCAATTTATGAGCATGACAAGTCTTTGTCATGCCAAGTTGTTTCTGGACAACTCTCCAGAGTGTTTTCAGAGACCAAATAACGTCAGAAGCAATAAAGCGGTCAAGCTGTTAATGTCTTCCTTCTCTACCATGAATAAAATGTGCATTACCTCAACATCTTCCAAATCTTGCCCATAGTTATCAGATTCAGCCAAGGCCTGTTTGCTTAAAAGCCAGGAATCCACCAGCTGGACTTCCCTTTCAAACTGATGCAGCTGCATTTGCTCTTGCAGAGTTTTTCTGTGGGACTCCACTCTGTGTTGGAGAGAGGAGTATTCTTCTAGGACAGCCTGAAGCTTTGGAAGGAGAGCAGAGCTATTTAAAAAAAAGGTAAATGGCTTTAGAAAGGATGCCAACTGATCACTGTCAGTATTACTGCACTTAGTATCTTGATACAGCCCTTCTGTTTCAGTAAACATTATTACTCTTGGATACATGTGTGACACACGTCATGTCTGCATCAGTAGTATACATGCCTGAGTCCTAGGCTGCATGCTTATTACTCTTGGATACATGTGTGACACACATCATGTCTGCATCAGCAGTATACATGCCTGAGTCCTAGGCAGATTCAAGGTTTGATGGTTGCATGTCAAGTTCTTAATTTATTTCAGGTTGTGCACATGTGTTCCTTTATGCACACTTAAAAACCAGCGCATTCCATCATTTTGGTTATGGTAGTCCCTTTTCCACAGCTGCGATGGTACTTCACTTGTGTAAAATGGGCTCACTAATTCATTCACCATAACTTTATGAAACACTGAGCCACCTCAAGCTACAGGAAGCCAATTCTGTGTGGGTTCAAGCTTTCTGAATATCAAGAGCAGCCAACTTGGCCTTTGATCTCAACATTTTCAGTAAGACTCAAGCATGTACATCGTGCCCCCACCCCACCCTAGTAAATAAAGAGGTGGGACACAAGAGATCGGTTCAAACTCGGGTCACAACCTTATTGACTATTTAGATACCTGAACTGATGTGGGGCCTAAGGAAACCTAGAAACGGGAGCTGGTGGTGGTCCTGCCCTCTAGTTACTAAAGGGGGAAAGATGCCTTCCCAGTTACTTTGCAGTGGGAGCTGCGGAGGGAGCAATGTGCAGAAACAGAGGTCATTTGTGCGCACACATAGTGCTCTCTCATCAGGATCCCTTGCAAGGCTGTATAAGCTGTTCTAGTGCCTTAACTGATATGGGGAATGTAAATAAATTACTGAAAAACAAGAAATCTTAAAAGAACTTCATCAAGCAAAGGTAAAGATAACATCAAAAGGTATTTCTCAAGAATCTGTAGGAACTGTACTATTTTATGTGATAGTATCATTCTGTGTCTGAGAAAGACATTTAAGTGACATTAAGAACAAATGCACTGAGTAAATTATATGAAATTATATTGGTATGTGATCACAGTATTGTACTAAAAGTGTGATCACATACCAAGAGCCATCCTTTTGGTGGCGGGAGAGAGAAATATTTTAAATAAATAAACAAGATAAATAAAAAGTTCAGTGCTTGGATTGTTTAAGAAGTCTAAACCAGGATACTATTTGGATGGGGCTGATTTCTCATTCTAAAGATGACAATGAATACAGTCACCAAAATGACAGACAAAACTGGAATGAAGAGATTTATGTCCTGTGATCCAGAGCTGCTCATGTACGCACTATGCTAAACACACACAGGGTTCTGGCTTCATGAGGCTTCCATAAACATGTAAACAAATATACGGCAGTCCTGTTGGAGAGAGAACCCCTTGGCTCATTTGAGATCCACCAGGCTGAAAAACAGTGATTCATGCTCATAGTAAGTTGCAGTCCTTCTTCTGTAGTTTTGCAAGAGTGAGATGCCTTCAGACCTCCCTGTTTGACAAGAATCCTCCACCTCTTTCCTACCACCTCACCTCTCTGGGTTGTTGTTGGTCAGCAGGTGGGTTCCTGTCTCCTGCATCTTCTCAATTCGAGTCTTGAATCCCTCTAGGTCCAGCCTGGCAGCCTCCACTTTTCGAAGCAATGATTGGGTTGATTCTTCATTCCTCCCATAATCTGGAATTTGCAGGACAAGACCTCTCTCCGCCATCCAAGATTCTACTTCCAAAAGCTGGAATCAAAGAATTCACTTTAGCCTCTACAGACCAGATGGCATGACATAAGGACTCCCAAGGAAGTCTGGTGGGACCAGGTGTAAGCAAGTGGTCTTTACATACATTTTTCCTTTCTACAATTTTAAAAAAACATTTTATTCACTGTTCACTTTTATTTGAGAGATCAATTGGCCATTTATTTCACACATTCAGATTGATTTTCTTTGGAATTGGGTGCAATAATCTATTTACTCTGCAGTGTTTAGTGTTATTTCTTTCACATACAACAAGCACAAATATTTGATTTAAAAGCTAAAATCCTATTGAGGTTTTATGCTGGAAGAATGCAATTGGTGGAAATCTTGGTGAACTCCACAAGTTATTAAGTTAGAGCATGTGTTTATTTTTGCATGCTGAACCTGTGCTGATGCCTTAACATGTGGCAATTTCCCAGTGAAATCTACATCAATTGTATTATGCTGGTAGCATAATTAATAGAATTTGGGCCATTGTGACAAAAGCCAGAGACAGAACTTTATGGGAGGAGTTCTCAGAAGGCACAAAGATGACTTTTAATTTAGTTTATTCATTACTTGGAACAAAACAAAATAAAATAACATTCACCTGAAATTTCTATTTCCTTCAAATAAACATTTTACAGTAATCCTTAAATTACATTATTACTTCAAATTGGTTTTTACGGATGGGTGGATTTGAAAGAAAAATGTTTCAATGTCTATATTCATACACATTTTCCACAATATACACGGTTGATATATGTTTTTAAGATCTATAGAGTGTGTGTGTTTTTCATATGATTTTCTTTCCATATAAAGCATTTCTACATGCATGTTTAATGCACAGATTTTGGTTGCATATGTAGGCAAGCTGCCTAAAAGAAAGGATGCTGCTAATGTACAGGTGCCTTACATTTCAGCTCTAGTGTATACCATATTTTTCCATGTATACGACCCCCCCTAATTTTGTCCCTTGCTGGAGCTGGAGGTGGAGGAGTAGTCAAATTTCCATGTACAAAACAACCCTCAATTTTTCCTATAATGATTTTAGGAAAAAAGTGTTGTTTTATACACGGAAAAATATGGTAAGTGCAAATTTGGCATGTTTGCATAGAAATATTAATCCTTCCATCTTTCCTTCCAGGTTAACGATAATACGTTCTCTCAAAGAACTCTGGCAATTGTACGCTGGCTTGGGTGTTGAGAATTATTTTTTCAGAAATCACTGGTAACTGCTGAATAGCAAGGCTGGATAACATGCAGCCCTCTAGATGTTGTTCGACTGCTACTTCCTTCAGCCCTGCCCAGCACACCCAATGGTATGGGATGAGAGGAGCTGCATTCCAACATTATCTGAAAGGGCACATGTTGATTGTTCCCTGTGCATACAATCAAGGCTTGAGGTCAGCATCCAGTTGCTCTGTTGACCAACTGTTATGTTCCACCCCCTTAGTGCCATCATGCTAGTGATGGTCATATTATTGTAGTTTTTTGGCTTGTGCCAGAAATGCTGGATATGGACATCTCTTTGCACAAGTTCTGATCACACCACAGACCACTGGTCCCCAACCTTGGGCCTCCAGATGTTCTTGGACTACAACTCCCAGAAGCCTTCACCACCACCTCTGCGGGCCAGGATTTCTGGGAGTTGATGTCCAATAACATCTGGGGGCCCAAGGTTGGGGACCACTGCCATTGACTGTTGTGTGAATGGACCAAACAAACAAGATTCGGTCCTAAGTTGTTAATGTAGTTGAACCATCTTGGGGGGGGGGGGCGGAAGGTAGAATTTAATACCAATAGCCCAAACCATAGAACTGAAACTGACATATAGTTAAATAATAATTTTCCTTGAAACTGTTTTGCAGTTTATGTTCCAGATTAGTCATCTGGCCATTTAGAAAACATTTGTTTCTTTGAACAGAGGAGGAGCAATTCAGGGTCACATGAGCAGAACTATATTCATGCAACAGGGATTTCCTCTCTTCTTTCAGCCTCTCCTAAATGCCACTGCAGCCCTCTGCACCACCAGAAGCCTCTCCTGATGGATCAAACATTCTGTGTAATGGCACAGGGAAGGTGGGCAAGAGACATCAGGAGTGTCTGGCATCTGCTTTGATGCCAAATGCAATCCCTTTTTACTTGGATCCAAGCCACAAAAATGAAAGATGGGCTTCCCTTCTTCTCTTACCTCGGTGAGAAAGTGTTGAGCTTCATAAGATTGCATGAGCCTCTTCCTTCTTTGCTGAGCGTCACCCTTCAGGGTTTCAAAAGAAGCTTCCAGCTCCTTCACCTGCTGCATTATATCTCTTGAGGCAGCGTGCCCTCCCTTCACCAGCTTCTGTCCAGTGCTGATCACAGCTTGGGTTAAAGCATCATGGCTACTTATCTCATTCTCTAAATTCTTGTAAATACAAAATAAAGCAAAAACACATCATGAGGTGTGTGTGTGGGGGGAAGCATTTCCTCCATCCTTTTCTCTCTTTTTATGGATAGTGTCTAGGGCCAGGGCCCATTGAAAACATTTCTGTTTCAATATACTTGGAGTCTGTTATTTTAGTTTGCCAATTCTGCTTCTAATGTTTTTCTTTAACCCATTAAAGTATTTAAATGCTTTGTTTTTATGTTTCTGATTGTTTTGTAGTGTTTGATTCTATTAACTTTCTGCCTGGAAAGCGATCTTGTGCGTTTCTTATACAGAGGAGCATAACTACTATAAAAATGCTGGTATATCTCAATCATTATGCAAATTTAGCTTTAACGAATTAAGATTGGCAAGACCTAAAGAATACTGCTTAATAGTAGCAAAGAAAGTCACTAGATCTTGCAGGAATTAGACTGTAGAAAGACATAACGGGGTTTGCATCAAATTTCCCATACTGGTTGAGGTCTTAACTCTTAAAAGAGCCAAATCTCTTTGGGCACATTTAGGCAGTAACGTTTTTGGGATGACAGCTCCATGCCTCTCCCTGCCATGGTGGTCGGGGGATTCAGGGAGCTGACTTCCAAAAAAGTAACTTTTCCACAGCTCTAGTGACAATACTGCAACACTCACAGCATGGTCAATGCTGGAGTCCAAGGATAAAAATACAGCCTCTTCTGCACAACACCTTCTTGGAACAGAAAGACACCCTCCAAGTGTGATTCACAGCCCCAGATGTCAGACCAACAGTTCCCAAACTTTCTGAGAAGCCCTCAAGCTTTTCAACTCTTCCATAGTATCTCCCACCCCCTTTTAACAATAAAAAGCCCCCAAAATCTGCAATTAAAAATTATAATAACCACAAAATTTAAGTTAAATACTATAAGCATAATAAGCTGGAAATAATTTTCCATTCATTGGCTTTCAGATTTCATTTTTAAAAAATTCAGATGAAAGTCTTCTATATATTTCCTGATAGCTCCAAGATGCGTGTTAAGAATCCATGTTAAGAAAACAATGTGCCAGTTTGCACAAGATGCTCCCTCCATTACAAGGGCCGAATCCATCTTCTGATGATACTAAGGTTCTCACAAAAATTATCTGAAGCGCAGGAAAAAAGACAAATGCACTTAGCACTGATGTGTCGCCATCAGTGTTAAAATGTGTTTAAAAAAGTAGATGAAATGGCAGAGGAACTCTAAAAAGCTCAAGCATTGATTAGAAGAGGGCCTTCCTCTTCCATACGTTGCTCTAGAGGGCAAAGAGAACAGGGACAGGGAAGGGAGAGACTTGTCGCTGTTTCCCTTTCTCATGTTTCACTTCATGCACAAGCTGAATGCCTGAATGAGATTGCAACATTTCCTGCTTGGCTTGCAGAACTGTAATGCTGCACAGGGAAGGGAGAGACTTGTCGCTGTTTCCCTTCATGCACAAGCTGAATGCTGAATAAGATTGCAACATTTCTTGCTTGGCCTGCAGAAATGTACGGTAATTCTGCACAGTACCTTACCTGGTGCTTCTCTTGTAAGCTTTGAACAGTGGTGAGAGACTGGCCATAATCTGTGGAAGATGCCAGGGGCAGTTTCTCTCGAATCCAGGTTAGCTCCTCATTGACTTCCTGAAAGAACTGGTGCTGCAGTCTGCTGGCCTCCAAACACCCACGCCTCTCCTGCAACGGTTCCCTCAGGCTCTTGTACCTGGTGGTCCAAATTGAAGCCTCCCGTTCATTATTAAGAAAGACAAATACAAAGCCAGAGCCATAACGCAGAGATGGGGAGAGAAGGGATGATTTAAAAACAACAAACACTCTTAACAGAGAGGGAGAGGATAGCGAAAATGAAAGGGGGTTGGAAGAACTGTTCAACTACCTGTGCACCACTTCGTCTACTCTCTCTTCTATCTCATCTGCCAGAAAATGTTTTTCTTGTTGGAACTCTTGCACAGTGTTGATAAGACCTTGCAACTGGTCCCTGTGGGCAATAATACTTTCTTCCAGTTCCTCTTGTCTTTTTAGAAGATTGCTCAGGAGAAGAAGATTATGGCTAACTTCCGGTGCTTTTATCTCACTTTCCACTTCTTCCAGCCATTTCTCCACATCATCCACATTTTGTAGGAAACTTGAGGCCTGGTGCCAGAGGTAAAACAGTTCACATGTAATCTGACAGTTGGAAAGAAAAACCCACAAGCCGCACAAAATGATCTGCCATTCATTCTGTACAGCAGCTGTTTATAAGAGCAAGCATAAACACAATGCATTTAGTGTACTAAGTTTTTCTCCTGCCATTTCCTTAATAAATAATCAAGCCCAATGCTTGGATGTTAGGCAGGGACACCTGTGAAAACATTGGTTCCTCTCAGCTTCTTATCTTTCTAGCCTTACATTTGTTTCCGTCCGTTTCTACATCAGGGTGCATTTTCTTAAAAAAAAGTTAGAATGAAGATTAGTAGGCCTTTCCCCAGATGCTTAGCATACATTATTATTTTGCATTTTGTTTTAATTGATCTAAGGGCTTGTCCCAGCTCCCGCCAACCTAGCGGTTCGAAAGCATGCAAATGCGAGTAGATAAATAGGGACCACCTCGGTGGGAAGGTAAACAGCGTTCCGTGTCTAAATCACACTGGCCATGTGACCACGGAAAGATTGTCTTCGGACAAACGCTGGCTCTATGGCTTGAAGAGCGGGATGAGCGCCGTCCCCTAGAGTCGGACACGACTGGACAAAAATTGTCAAGGGGAACCTTTACCTTTTACCTTTAAGGGTATAACTAGAAGATCCAATTATCCTGGCCTTAATTGGTTGAGATTATTGCTAATCAGGGTTGTTTTCATATACAGTATGTCACTGGCGCAATCCTTGCATCCACGTGCAAGGATCAACCAAACCACATCTCAAGTGACCCTGTTTAGAACAATCTAGACATATCTTCTCTCCCTTTAGAGGGAAAGAGACAAAAAAGACCATGTCCTCCATGCTTTGCCTAAGCTACATAACAATTGTAAGAGATGGGACACTTAATTGCTGCTTGCCTGTGGAGAGGAAGGGACAGGAAGTTTTGCATTTATTTTAATTTTTGCTAACTGGCACAGTACATCTGTGATGCCTTGGAAGTGTTCTAAATAACCCACTTTCAAAGTGTCACTGCTCTGTTAGCAACAATTAAAAAGAAATGCAAAACTTCCTGTCCCTAGTCATCCACAGACAAGAGGAGTGGAAGCTTCCCATTTCTTAAGGTTGTAAAGCAGCTTCAGAAAAGGGACTAACAGCAGCACCTTGGTTTGATCGCAGCAACCGTACATACTGGAACCAAACCAAAACAGAATGATCCCACCCATACAAAAAAACAAAACAAAAAAACCTAGGACCCCCTGATAGGGATCCAAAAAGGTGCGTAGGGTAGCCATTGATCATGGGAGGGATGGTTCACAATGGCACATATGTCACCAGGAGAAGGAGGAAGCCAGCCCATCCCCAACCAGGATGATATTGCCGAACAAATGTCTGTCTTATCATAACTTACACAAATTTGGATTGGGGAGCTGAATTGCAAATTCAAAAAGTGCAAATAGAAAAATGTAACTGCACTTTGTTTCATGTGTTGATTCAGGAACTGCGGTTGGCAAAGTTTGCATCAAAATGCAGCCCATACACATTTATCCTCTATCACAAGGGTCCTTATAGAACTAAAGATTCCCTTCCGCTAAAGTCTTGCTTTACCTTGTAGGTGTCCAGCATCTTCCTTTTCTTTTCTTGGCAGTTTTCCAGCAGCTCATCCCAAAGTTCATCCATTTCTTGCAATCTGGACTGGATCGCCCCACGGGCAAAGTGTCCCGCCTGGAGCATTTTCTCTCCTTCCTACGAAAAAGAATATCAACATCCTTTCCTTTCTCAACTATGTCTTTAAATATCATCATCTTCAAGCAAGAGTACTTTCTTTGCAACTCCCGATTAAATCCTAGCTATTCATGCTTCTAGCTAGGCTCAGGATACAACTCATATGTTTGGCTAAGGTTCCTGGCAGCAGCCCTTCAGCCAGCTCCTTCTTTTCAGGGCTAGAAGTACAAGTTTGCAATAAACTGGAGAAATTGTACTAGGTATGAATTAGTTGCAAACAAGTGCGACCCTGCATGCAATACACTTCTAAACTGTGTCACTTTTTTAATTTGTTTTATTTGTGTGCACATTGTTGCTGGGGGCATGTAGGGGGCTCGGTGTGATGTCATATGTTGAGAATGCTATACTCCATTTCCACTCTTCTTTTTAATTTTTTATAAAAAGGTGTTTAAGCATATCTTCAAGGGGGTGGTTTTAATTACAGGTTTTTTTTAAAAAAAGGGAATCACACCTCTGCATGTGAGAAGAAAGGTGCGAAGGATACAGCAATGAAGAAATAATGGCACTCGAGGGAGAAGCGAGGGGGTTGCAAATGAATGAGGTGAGAAGGAGTGGGCAAACTACTGACAGGCAAAAATGGTCAGTCCTATACTGCCCAATACTGAGGTGTATCTGTTAAAAAATGTTGCCATTTTGAACAGCAGCAGGGCTTGACATTGTGTGATACAAGAGGAATCACTACAGATTTGATCTGCTTTTTTTCCCCTTGAGTATGCAGTTTTGGCTGAAATGTTATTAATGGGACGTGGTGGCGCTGCAGGTTAAACCGCAGAAGTCTCTGTGCTGCAAGGTCAGAAGACCAGCAGTCGTAAGATCAAATCCATGCAGCGGAGTGAGTTCCTGTCGCTTGTCCCAGCTCCTGCCAACCTAGCAGTTTGAAAGCATGTACAAATGCGAGTAGATAAATAGGGACCATTTCGGTGGGAAGATAACAGTGTTCCATGTCTAGTCATGCTGGCCACGTGACCACGGAAACTGTCTTTGGACAAAATGCTCACTCTATGGCTTGAGTCGGACACAACCGGACTAAATGTCAAGGGCAGCCTTTACCTTTACCTAGGCTTGACATTGTGTGATACAAGAGGAGTCACTGCAGATTTGATCTGTTTTTTTTTTCTTGAGTATGCAGTTTTGACTTAAATGTTATTAACTTACAGCTTTGATATTATCAAGGTGGCTTCTGTTGGCCATAATCTCTGCCTGGAAAGTCTGGTGCTTTTGCAGTTTGGATTGAAGGTTGCTTGGGTCTCTCCAGCTCTCATCCAGGGCAATGCGGTTTTTTTCAGCCATCCAGACAGCCACCTTCAGGGAGCAAAGCGAGCAGTGAGTAAGCAGAACCCTTTTCAAGCCAGTTATCAGATTCTTCTCTTAGGACAGTGGTTCCCAACCTTGAGTGACCCAGGTATTCTTGGACTGTAATTTCCAAAACCCTGGCCAGCACAGCTGGTGCTACAGGCTTCTGGGGCACCTAGAATACCTAAGGTAGAATTAATTTGTAGGGTGAATTAAGAAATTTTAATTTTTTTAAGGAAGCAAAGCTGTTGTAGAAAAACATTTTTCATGCAAAAGGACATGGGCATCTTGAAAAAAGATCCCTGTACAAAATGCTGGAAGAGCATAAATAATCTGATTTTTTTTTACGCTTCTGTCAGGAGAATAATTATGTAAATGACATTTTGGCCAAAATTCTGACACTACTGCCTAGAGGCATAAATTAATTAGCATAAACCTCTCTTAGCATAAAAAAGCAGCAATTCATCACAAGGATCGACCACAAAGAATTACACTAATTGCATTATTCCAAAGTGTAAAAGCTCAGTCATATTAAGTAATTAGATTAAGTACCTGTAAACAGGAAGAACAGAGAACTCCCAGGATCCTGTTGGCCATGCTAGCTGCAGGATTTTGTGAGGTGTAGCTTAAAAAGTAACATTTCCAACCTGTATCACAACTGCAGAAACACTTAAAACTGCTTTATTTCTGAAGAATATAAAGCGGAAGGTTCCCTTCTCATTCTGCAGCTTTCCAAAGCCAGCTGCATTTTCTTCTCCTGATAGCTATACATGTTATTTCATGTACTTAAGTCAAGTCAATATTTTCCTATGAGAGTGGTTCTTAAGTCAAAATGTTCTTAACTCAAGCCGTTCTTAAGTCAAGACCCCACTGTAAAGCGGAAGGTTCCCATCTCATTCTGCAGCTTTCCAAAGCCAGCTGCATTTTCTTCTCCTGATAGCTATACATGTTATTTCATACTTAAATCCAGCTAGTAAGGTACCCAGTATGGTTAGTTTGATAGAGAGATGGACTAGGGCTGAGGAGACCAGGGTCTGAATCTTCACTTGGCCATGGAAACTCACCGGGATGGGTGGCGCTCCCTCAATATCTCACTTCGAAAAGCTTATCAGAGTCCCTGTAAGTCAGATGCAACTTGATGGCAAAAAACACAGTGAGATGTTATCTTTTAATATATCTCAGGAAATTAAGTAAAATATATTATACCTCAAAGGAATTGTGGAGGAACTTTTGTAATAGCCATGACTCCTCGAGCCGACGCCTGCGAGCTAAAGCAATTTCCAAAAGTCTCTCTTTTCTAACAAGAAAAAATAAGATGTCAAGGATACTTAACCTACAATTCTCTCAGTACCTACTGTTGAAAATAGTTCATGATATACAATTAACATTTTGTTCATAATTAAAGAATCACAGACCTCAGTATATTGATGAGGCCATGTTGGTTAAAGCATGGAAAGTAAAAAAAAAAAGCCCTTAGTAGAGCAGGATCTAAAAGTAAGCACATTAGAGGCACTTATTGCCTGCCAGATATTTTCCTATCGTTATGCACTTCTGTAAATATTATCTAGATTTCTCAAACTGTGTTTTTGTCTGAAGAATAAGAGAAGGTGCATTAGATGAATGGAACACCTGATAAGTAGTTTTATAAAAATTCATTTAAAGGTAGGATATAGGAAATTACTGTTAACATTAGTAGAAATAGAATCTTTTGTTTTGTTTGTATCTTAGCAAGAACCAACCTAATTTGCACAGCATGTATTTATCATTCTGTTTTACTCTTATCTGCATTTTGTGATATAATTGACCACTAAAAGTGCACTCAGTAGAGCATAAATTAGAAGACTACTTTAAGCACTTATTGCCTGCCAGATATTTTCCTATCGTTATGCACTTCTGTAAATATTATCTAGATTTCTCAAACTGTGTTTTTGTCTGAAGAATAAGAGAAGGTGCATTAGATGAATAAGGTGTATGATAAGTAGTTTTATAAAAATTCATTTAAAGGTAGGATATAGGAAATTACTGTTAACATTAGTAGAAATAGAATCTTTTGTTTTGTTTGTATCTTAGCAAGAACCAACCTAATTTGCACAGCATACATTTATCATTCTGTTTTACTCTTATATGAATTTTGTGATGTAATTGACCACTAAAAGTGCACTCAGTAGAGCATAAATTAGAAGACTACTTTAAAAATATTCATTTTTTAACATGTTGGGAAAATTAAAGGGGCAGATGACAAAAAAAGAAATAGATAGGTAGGATATAGGAAATTACTGTTAACATTAGTAGAAATAGAATCTTTTGTTTTGTTTGTATCTTAGCAAGAACCAACCTAATTTGCACAGCATGTATTTATCATTCTGTTTTACTCTTATCTGCATTTTGTGATATAATTGACCACTAAAAGTGCACTCAGTAGTGCATACATTAGAAGATTATTTTAAAAAATATTCATTTTTTTACATGTTGGCAAAATTAAAGGGGCAGATGACAAAAAGAGAAATAGAGAAAAGGTGAAATATTGTGGTCCTTTAAAGACTAACATTTATTTCAGTGAGAGCTTTTGTGAATAAAACTCCACTTCTTAAGACAGAAGGACTACAAATACATGCCTTCTATATTTAAACATATCCCCATGGTAGTGAGGATATATTGATTCTTAAAAGGTCACACTGAAAGAAATATGTTAGAGTGCCATATATTTTGCCTTTCTCTCTCTCTTTCTTTCTCTTTTCATCTCCTCACTTCTAATTTTTCCAATGTGTTGAGACAAACATGGTTATTTCTTCAGAAATTGCTGCAAAAGAAGGCATTCCTATTTCTCATATACAGCCATTATTTATACAGTTACCTCTTTGAAAGCTCACAATGTATGTATTTTTGTACCTATTTCTCCTAATGTATGTATTTGAAAAAATACATCAGAAAATGCATACAGTAGAAGAACAAATATACATTAAATGTGCAAGCATGTTCATGTGGCCTTTTTAGTAAAACATTCACAATCAAAAGATTCATTTGAATCTCTTCCATTTGACAGGTTTCAACAAAACTGAAGCAGGAACATTTGTCCAGTTCTACAAAGTAAAGAAAAGGTTTCAGTGTTACCTCCTCAGAACACCTTGGCATTTGTCCATTATGTTTTCAGAATCATAATGCTGATTGTCCCTCAGTTGGTGGGCAAAAGAGGCCATCATATCGATCTTCTCCAGTTGGTTTTCCAGGTCTTTTTCAAATTGCATGTGTTTTTGTTGAAGACTCTCCACACTGGACACTGAATCCTGAATAGGATGATTAAAAGATCTAGCAACTTGGCCAGCTCTAGACTATTTGTCCTTCTAGTCCTACAATGTCTATGTTAGCAGTGGCAGCCATTTTCCAGTGTCTTAGACACATCGCCTTCCCCATCATCTGTCAGACAATTTTTGGAGTCAGGAGATACCAGAGATTGAGGCTGGCAACCTCCTCCCAAGCAAAGCGTGTGTTCCAACACTTGACCTATGGTTTCTGCTCTAGTTTGGGATTGAGGTTAGTTCATTATTTCACCCAACACATTCAGAATTCAAATACTCATTTTTTTAAATTACAGTTTTCAAGAGCATAATGAAAGTGTCACTTCATGCATGTAGGAACATAGGTTTCCCAAGACTTTTGCTGAGTTTTTGAATAGAATCACAGAACTGTAGAGATATTAGGGACCCCAAGCGCCAATGAGTCCAACCACCTGCTGGAGCACAACATCCACAGCTAAAGCATTCCTCACAAACAGTCACCTAACTTCTGCTCAAAAACCATCAGTGAAGGAGAGGCCACCCATCCACCCTCTGAGGCAGTCCATTCCTCTGTTAAACAGCTCTCACTGTCAAGACGGTCTACCTAATGTTTAGGGGAAATCTCCTTCCTTGGCTATGAATAGGTGGCTGCATCATTCAGTAGTTTTTCAGGGGCAGACGTATTTTTAGATGCTGCTAAGGATACTATGAAGTAGGAAGCAATGGACAGGAAATGTACAGAGAAACGAGATGGCAGCAGGAGGTACCAGATAAGGTCATCCAATTTTTGAAGAGGAAAGTTTAAAGTAGGTTTTCCTCTATTTTACTTACCCCCAAGTCTTTGTTTGCTAGGAAGCCCTCTTTGCTGCCAAGCCAACTTTCATTCTCTTCTACATAAGCAAAGAATTTCTGTGTAACAAAGAGAGAGAATACTCAGTCCCCGTTCTAACATACTTCAATACGACAGAATACAATAAACCTTTATTCGCATTAGACAGAAACTCAGGGGAAATAGACACATATTTCTAACATATTTATAACAATGCAAAGTTCAGTGTAAGTAGGAGCACTCAAGACTACAGCCATGTTACTACTAGAAGATGCGGCGATACTTGGTAGTAGGGATGTAAATCTTTTTATTTTGGTTTTCCAGGTGAAAATAAAAATTATCAGTCTTTTTCTTCCCTGGACGAGACTGCATGGAATTCTCTGTTCTTTTATTCCCCATTTTGCATTTTTTTTTGTACAAAACTAAAAGAAGCATTTTTTCCCAAAGAAAAACTTGGACTTTGCACAGAAAACCTTGTCTTTTGTACAGGGAGCTTTAAACAGAAAATACTAAAAAATTTGGTCTTTCCTCTCTGCTTTAGGAAGCAAGAATCTCATAGCAGTTGCTTATTTTTTTTTCGTACAGAGTATCAGAATACATGCCCTTTCCCACCTTATTGAGAACATTTTGAATATTCACTCCATTCTTACTCAGAAGCAGCCCAGTGGAACCATTATGAAAAAGTAGAACAGCAGATTGTTCTAAGATTCAGATTAGTCTGCAAGTTTGCAATTTTCAGCTTCCACTCTCTTTCCTCTACAAGATATTAAAAAGCAGCAACAGGTGAGATTATTTGTTTATTGAACCCACTATTTTCTATGCTGAATGAGTGGCAGTGGCTCTTTATGGTTTCAGGCAGAGATTTTTCACCTGTTTTCTCTAACTGTATAGCCATAGCTGTAGGCAAGCCTATCAGGGTGCCTACCAATCACTGCTGTTCTAAGCATTTGGGGGCTTATGTCCACATTTGAACAAAAATTCACAGCACCACTTGCTAATAGAAAAGAAGTGTGATCAGAAGGAGGTTGGAAGCTTAAACCCCTATGAATGCCAAAACATCTCCCAGCAGCTCCAGTTTCTGTGCCCTGACCTCATCAACTTTACTCGCATCATCAAACAATAATGTCCAAGCATACAGTAGTAGAGACATCATCATTTAATAGATTGGCCAGGTTCTTGAATTTTCTTGCTTTTTCTTTGAGGTAGCTATTCTGAATCTTCATTACAACAAAATACTTTCTGTTGTGAATGTGGAATGTGGATCACTGACTCTCTTGTCTGGGCTTTGATTGAGTAGGCCAAAGTAGGAAATACTGTATATTCCCCTGCTTCCCTCTTGTTTTACACTTTCTTTTATTTTTTTTAATGTCTGCTGCTAGTCTATATTTGCAAAACCACTTTCCCCCGCTTGCTGTGCATGTCCCAGAGTTGATAGGTGTCAGATATGCAACATTGTGATTTGGACCAGGCTGTGACTAGACACACTTGGGCAAGTCTGACCAGGGACATTAAGAGGACATATTGTACATCCCAACACATGTTATCACTTCTCCCCTCATTCCTCACATTTGCAGAACTATCCACCTACCTGCAAGTCCTTGGCTTGAAGCAGTTTCAGATTTTTTTCTTGCCAGGTCTCAATCATTTCGGTCAGTGCCTGTTGCAGTCTGACGAGGGAATGATGGATCTCAGGGGTTGCGTGATAACCAGCATTGGCAAGTTTCTGACTATAGTTGTTGAGTGCGTCAAACCTTTCACCTCGTGCTTCTATCTCTGCCTAAAAGACGTTTGTTAGATTGATGTCAAATGCTCGTGCAGAGCAACCTATCTGGGATACAAATGTTTATCTTTGGAAAAGCAAAGGAAACTCAGAGAGCTAAACAAACAAACAAACGCACGCACGCACGCACGCACGCACGCACGCACGCACGCACGCACGCACGCACGCACGCACATACATACATACATACATACATACATAGGATAAGCCATCCCTTCTATGACTTTCAGTTGCCTCTTAGGTAAAAGTAAAGGTTCCCCTTGACAATTTTTGTCCAGTCGTGTTCGACTCTAGGGGGCGGCGCTCATCCCGCTCTTCAAGCCATAGAGCCAGTGTTTGTCCGAAGACAATCTTCCGTGGTCACATGGCCAGTGTGATTTAGACACGGAACGCTGTTTACCTTCCCACTGAGATGGTACCTATTTATCTACTCACATTTGCATGCTTTCGAACCGCTAGGTTGGCGGGAGCTGGGACAAGCAACGGGCGCTCACTCTGTCGCGTGGATTTGATCTTACGACTGCTTGGTCTTCTGTCCCTGCAGCACAGGCTTCTGCGGTTTAGCCCACAGCGCCACCACGTCCCCAAGAGGAGTTGCCTATTAAAGGCAAGCCAAATCTGTGATTTTTGTGGAATTGAATAGCAAATTTATTTATTTATTAGATTTTTATACCATCTCAATAGCGCAAAACACTATTCTGGGAGATTAACTGTCAAAAATCAGACAATAAAACAATAAATCAACTGTAACAAAGTAAAATGAACCACACTGAGTCAACTAAAGCAAAACTAGACAAAGACACCACTACATTAAGCCACACTAGGGCAGATAAGACAAAGGCAAATTCATGTAAGGTTGCTCTCAAAGATCAAAAAGCAGAGTCAGGAGCAACCTTCTAAATGTGGGCGGGGGGGCAGGTTCAGCTCAACTGGAGGCTATTTTCAAAGAGCTGGTGCCACAATCAAGCAGGCCGGCCTCCTGGCCTTCCTTGGTGTGGAATAATTTTATATCTATCTGTGTATTTTATGTGTATTTTACTTCTGTTGTAAGCCGCCTAGAGTGGTCATAACTGACCAGATAGGCGGGATATTAATTAATTAATTAATTAATTAATATCCCGCCTATCTGGTCAGTTATGACCACTCTAGGCGGCTTACAACAGAAGTAAAATACACATAAAATACACAGATAGATATAAAATTATTACGTAATGAACAATGAAGAAATTCAACGAGATCGAAAACAGACAGTAGGAGAAGAGAGTAGGAGAAGAGAGGAAAACATCAGGAGTTAACTGGAGGGAAGGCCTGCCAAAACTTCCACGTTTTAGTTGATTTTTAAAGATACCCAGCAAGGGGGCTGGGTATTTTCGGTGGTGTAGGTCAATGTTTTTGGGACCAGACACTCCGACAAGTAATGGGGTCCCAAACAGTGAAGGGCTCTATAAGTAAGCATCAAGACCTTAACTACTCAGGCTTTCACAGAGAAACGATGTTAAATATCCTTTTAAAAGCAAGGATGGGTGATGGTGGTAACTGAAGAATAATCAGTATCACAAAGATTTCTGCTTTCTTCTCTATTTTCTCATAGATCCAGCTCTTTTACTGTACAGTACTCATTTTGTGGAAACTGATTGGAGTCCAATCCTTTTCTTAAAAAAAAAAAACACTGTCAAAGTTGCATTTGTGTTTCACCCTCATTACAGGGAATAGCTGAGGCATCTTCTTTAGCCACTTTCTGGCAGGAGTGCAACAGTCCTTACTGGTTATCCAGTCTACCCAAAGATCACACCCAAAGTAGCACTGCTGCTGAACCAAAAATGTCCAGATGGCACGGAAGAGGGGCAGGCTGGTTCACAATTTCATGGATATCATCTGGCCCCCAGAAAACAAATGAAACCAGACCATGTTTTATGTGATCCAAAAGGTGATCTAAAAGGCCATCTGATCACACCCAAAGTTCAGTTACAAAAACCTGCTATAGACAGCCCTCAGACAGTCTTCTGCAAGTATGCATCAACAGGTTACTGATCTTTTTCATACTTGCCTTTCTTTCTTGATGCTCCTCAATTGCACTTTCTGCTTCAGCCAGACTTTTAGGAAGACTTCCAACTTCCATTCGACCTTTGACTTCTTGAATCCAGTCCAGGAGCTCCCTTATTTCAGAGTTAAACTTCTGCAACTGATAAGAGGCTGCCAATTTCTCACCCCTGTCACACAAAGAACAACCTAGCACTATTTCTGGCCAGAATCATGTATAGCATTTTTGTGCAGGATGTCTTCTACGGAAACTATTACTACACATATTCTTGCTGAAATAAAAATCAGGTTTAATGGAAACAGAACACTCGCAAAGTGTCCTTATCCTTATCTCAAGGAACACGTCTTTTACCTATAAATCAAAACTCAGAATGTTACCTATTAAAAATAACCAGGTTTTTTTCATAAGCCCCCCGAAGTTGTCATCACAATGACCAGTTTTAAAGTACTGTAGCTCTTTCTACTTTTTCATTCTTAAATACAATTAGCTACTTTGTAGCCCCCTTTAAAAACCATAAATATACAAGCTGGCAATGAACCCATTCATACCATGGTATGAAAATAATGAATATAATTAAAGCTACACCTCAAAGGAGTGAGGCTTCGTTATCTTACACTTAGGACATAAAACGTAAAACTTCAATTTTTGTAGAAAACAATTAAATACTAACAATTTATTCTTTGTAGCAAATGAACATCCGGCGTTGGATATTCGTGGTAAGATCTACCTTTCTCCTCCAGCAATTTTCACACAAAAAAGTCGGGAAATATAAAGCCATGTATACACACAGCAGAAGTAACTCTGTTTTGCCACATTCTTTCCTGGTTTTACTTCAAACCTTTTGTGCAGATTTATTTGGGGCCTGATACAAGCTGGACTATTCAACATCCTTCTGAATCTGAAACATGGGTGTCACGAGTCCTAACGGAGTGAAGGAGCCACAATGGGCAGCCCTGGGCTTCCTAGACATCATCATTCCTTAGCAGGAAGGCACCCCTTAAAGGGCAGTGAGAGAGTGTAATGCTGAGGAAGCTTTGCAGCAGGAAATAAAGACTGGAATGCAAGCGTCAGGCTGGGCCTTCCTCCAAGTGAAAGGAAGTACAGGTGGCTGCAGGTGTGTATCTGTGGACTGGGACTCCCAGAATTTTGCCAGAGAAATCATTGGAGAGCTCTGGGAATTGGAATTTAAAAAATGGAATGGCACGTTTCCTACTTGCAACCGTCTGTTTCGGGTGTGGGGTGAATCGGGCTACAAAGGGTCTATGGAGGTCAAGGGGAGGAGTGATGTGCCACTTGGCGTGCTCCTCCTGTCTGAACAACAAACAAATCCCTTGTTGCCTGATCATCTGCCAATTAAGCATTTCTCTGATTGTCTGTGGAGGGTCAGGGAAAGTGAAATTTAATTTTACATCAGTTCTCTCTCCCTCTGTTCATTTTCTCCCTCCTCTCTCCCTGCTTCTCTTTTCTCATTCTCCCCCCCCACCCCACAGCACCTTCTGCTGTTATCTTCTGGCTAAGCAATGAGCATGCCAAAAAGAATGCATGACCTACCACTGGGCCAGAAAGCTCTTAAATGGGAAACACTTGAAGTCAAGATCTGATCCAAATCATGCCATCAGCGATCCATATACCATACCTATATGCCAGTTATAGTTCAGTGGATAGCCCCAGAAAGTCTTCCCAAAAGAAGTCTTCCCAATTCACAGTCATCAGCCAGCATTTTCTAACTGCACCATGGCTATTAGTTTTCCCCCAAATTCCATTAACATACACCACACAAAATCTGCATGCATAGTGAGCAGGGTTCTCTTTAGACTTACAGAGAATAAAGAAGGGAGTAGAAATAGCTCACTCCCTTCCTTCACCTGTTGATTTTAGTGCAGTGCTTGTCTCTGTGTATAAGAAGTCACACTCAGCAGCAGTGGCGATAAAGTCACTCATGGTCTGGGTTTGCAGAGTCAAGATGGCAGTCTTGCAAACATTTTTACCTTTGCTTCACCTGACCTTGGAGTCGTAGCCAATGGTTTTTCATTTCTTTATGTTTTGTAGTCAGTTTGTCGCTTATGGAGGATAGATTCCTCCTGCAGTGGGGCAAGGCATCCAGCTCCAGTGACTAAAAAGAAGCACATGCAAAACATTTTCAAAATGTTTTTAAAGTGCTTTAATAATGTCATGTGTCTAGTGGGTTTTTTTAACAATATATCTTACGGTGTATTCAATTGTGACTATTGTGTTTATTTCACTTATTGTGAACCCCCTTGAGTCCCCTGTGGGGAGAATGGGAACTTATAAATAAAATAAACATGTAATAAAAATAAATATGCCTTCTGTCTTTATATTTACATTGTTCCTTCTAGTAATAGAGTTTTAATTTAACACATGTATCCCCCAATTTTTTTTGCTCATAATGAACCTCCAAAATAGCTGGGGGGAAAACTACAAACAAAGAACACTTAGAAAAAGAATAAATGAAGCAATCAGATTACCTACAGCAGCATAACCACTACCACCACCACCACAACAACAACACCCTAGAAGAAATATAATGAAGCAAAGCTAGGCTTCTTTTCTCTTTCTCCTCAAAAAACTTCTGGAACAGAAAAGTTTGCTTACGACATGACAGACACCAGGAGGGAGGGGAGCAGGAAAATTCCTTTGGCTAAGATGAACTTGGAAGTAAATGTTACTGCTTGGCTGCCTTTTGAATGGGCTGTACAGTAACAGCATCTAGTTGCTCATAATAAACACTTCTATGTGAACAGATGCATTTTAATAAAATAATTAGCAGCACAATGCCTGGTCCATATTAATGTATACGCTACAGAAAGTCAAATGGCTGAATACAAGGAAACAGTTTTTCATCTTTTGACAATGTTTACTCAAAATCAAGGTGCACTGTGTTCAGTGGACCTTATTTCTCAGCAAATGTGTTTAGGATGGTTGCCTAGGCATAATAAGCCAGTTTCCCTCTCTTGGCCCGGTGAGGATATTTCCAGAACTCATATATTCCATGCCTATGAATGTAGCAACTAAATTACAAGCCAGTTTTCTATGATGAGGCTCTTGGTTGGAATGGTTACAAGTGCCTTGATGAGCAGAGCAGTTCAAAGGGAGCAAAAGGCCAAAACATACAAAATGTGGGCAGATAATTACAGTTTACAGCATGCACCACATATTCCAAACATACTAGGAAACAAAAACATCTATAAGACAGCTTTAGACACGAACAGGATTCAGGTGGCAGAATCGTGGCAGACTACCAAATGTTGCCGTTTGAAGACCATTGCTGGCCCAAAATATTTTGCTGCCTGCTGTAGACAAGATGCTGCCTCAGTGATCACCTTGGTAGTAGTTGTACTTCAGTACAGGCAATGGAACACCGTCCTTGGCCTATCTGAGGGCAGTGTGGCAGGGCTAACTCAAATATCTCATTTCACCTCCTCATGGCACAATGGTTAAACTGCAGTACTGAAGTGAAGACTCCACCCACTACCTAAATTCAATCCTGGGCTCAGGGAGTGGGCTTGAGATTGCCTTTCATTCTTCTGAGGTTGGTAAATTGAGTACCTAGTTCTCTGGAGGAGGGGCAATGTGTACCCTGCATAATTAAACTATAAACCACTCAGAGAGACTAAGCACTTGGGGGCAATATATAAGCAGCATGCTTTGCTTTTTGCTTTATTCCCTATCAACATTTACCGCTGAAATAAGCCATCTTTCCATCATAAATTAAAAAGAGGTCTTGCAATTTAGATTCAGATGTCCTGAACAGCTCACTGGTCAGACAGATAAGAGGAATTTTCTAATTGTAATTATTCTTTTGTTGTTGTTGTTGTGGGGGGGAGGAAGAATAAGGAGGTTTTGTTTGAGCATGGACAGAGTTCCAACTCCTGTCCTCTGAAGATGCCGGCCACAGAGACTAGCGAAACGTCAGGAAGAACAACCTTCAGAACACGGCCAAAGACCCCGAAAAACCCACAACAACCATCAGGTTTTGTTTTGTTTTTTAACCCTTCAGGATCATTCTTAACACCACAATTATTTAAATTCTTTTGAGCAATTAAATTCCTGTTCCCCCTAATCAAGCAGTAGTATTTAAAAATAATATTTATTTTTAATTTTAAAAAGTACAGACTCCTATTGCTTATGTATACCTGCATGAGGGAAATCCCACAGATCTTACTGACACTAATTAATGAAGTGCTGGCTGCGTTCCTAATGTCTGCACGTAGAAATATAAGCAGCAAAGACCTAATGGGCGGCAATTTGAAGCCAAGACATACACAGGTTTCTTTATGCTCATGTGCATTGGTAAGGACTGTGGCCATGATTCCCTTAAACCTTCAGGTGGCAGGACTCTTCTTAGATGAAACCTTCCTCCTTTCTCACTGAAGTAGGAAATGTCTTTTAAGAGGATTCCATCCATAAAATGTATTTGTTACTTTAAAATAAAGGAAAGTTTTCATTTTCATTTATATAATTAGAAATATATATATATTAACTAGTCCCAAGGGTTGAGGTGGGGTTGCACAGGGGTAATAATTGTGGTTTTGTTCAGTTTTAAGTTTATTTGACAGTGTTTATTTCATTTGTTGTTTTTATTGTTTGGAAATTAATAAAAATAATGTAAAAAACCATGGCACTTTGACATTAATATGCACTTTTATGCAAATTTATGCAAATCATATCTAAAACATATATTTTGATTTTTAGATCATTTATTGAATTTTAAGGAGCAACATTCCTGGGAAAGGATATAAATACAACTATTGTGTTAGGTTTAAATAGTGTCTCCATAGAACATATTTCCAGTGGATGTGTCTGTAGTATTTACCATTCCCAATTCAGGTATTATCTGCTTTTACCTCCATCTTGGACTGAATGATGCCGATTTCTCTCTCCATTTCTTTATGTCTCCGGATTAAGTTTTCAACACTTTCCACATCTTTTCCATAATCCAGTGTTTGTATCAACATACTCTTAAAAGAACAGGAAGAGAATGGAAAAGATCAGAGCTAAATTCTTTTGAATGGAATTAAGCTATTTCCGCTTGCTTTTCTTTTAAACATTGGCTAAAATCCTAGTAGATGTTTGCATACATGCAAGAGGAATTGCAGAAATTGCCATGGCTAAATGTGACTAATTGACAAGGAGTGAGTGGGGCACAATCAGGAACCCACTGACACGGGACTGGTGCCTTGTGAATTAGCTGTGGCAGCTGTCTGAAGTCCTCTTGCACTTTAATAAATATCCAACATGATTCTGGCCATTTTGGTATTTTTACTTTAGGTGTAATTCTCATTAGCTTCACAAACACTGTAAAAGGAATGAAACAAGTTTAGCTAAGCTACAACAGAAGCTCATCACATTTAAACTGAGATTGTCTTCAACCTCTTCATATCCAAGCCACTATCTTATTATACCACCTTCCTATGTTATAGATTTTTTTAATTACCTAGAATGTTGCCAAATAAATTGGATTTTAACATTTATTAACAAACAGTTGAAATTCATATGAACTATTTTCTTTTCCCCAGAGCTAGCAAAAGATGAATAATTTTAGGTGACAAACCATCACCTTTGATGCCTGCCAGGTACACACAAGCCTGAAGAATTAGACTATGGCCACTAGCATTAACATCTCTAGACTATTTTTCCACTTAGAGGAAACCCTGATCACACAAGGACTGCAGTCAGTTAATCTGTTTGATGAAGTCAATGAGGATTCCCCACACCTTCTCTCCTTCACACAGACTGCAAAAAAAAAACTATCCATTCAAATTTACTTATCAATGTATTTGGATTCTTAAATTCTCAGGCACTGCAGGGAATTCAATTAAGGGGATGTAAAAGGTCTGAGGATTCTAACAAAGCAAATCACCTTTTCACTGATTCGCTCTGTGATATCATCAATTTCTCTGATCAAGGTATGGGTCTCCAGAGCCCCTTCCAATTTTCTCCTGTAGGTTTTTAGATCACCATGGAAACTGTTCCACCTATTATTGAAACAATACATTTGAAAGCAGTATTACTTTTCTTCTTCTTCTTAATTAGCCCACTGACATCCAATGTTGGACAAAGACCTATTTTCATTGCATCTGCAAATTTCTGTTTTACTATTTGTGCGAAGAACATATATGTATAATCAGGCTTTCTCTTGTTCCCACAATGGCAAAACACAACTGTATTAGTAAGATAGTACTATGACATTAAACACTTTATTAAATACTATTATTATATTAAATACTGCAAATGCTTATGAATAATTCAGGGTTCTATTAGTTTACTTCCTCTGCTCCCTTTTTCTTGTTGTGTTTGTATGTGTTCTCCTAAGCTGTGGCAAAGTCAGTTTAATACTCTCCTAAAATCTGAATGTCTAATAAAATGTTTCAAATATCTAAAAAGAAAACTTTGGAACAGAGGATGGTGACAAAGAGAGGAACATATGCATAGCTGAGCATCATACCCATTCTAGCCTTACGTGCCCATAACTTCTTAAGGAGATGTTTATAGTGGAGCCAGGTAGGGAACATCATGTGGATCTCCAGGTGTTGCTGGACTGCAACCTCCATCAACACCGTGGAAAAACCAATAGTGAGTGCTGATGGAACTGCAGTGCAACAACATCTGGAGAGGGGATGCATCCACTATATCTGTTGCAAACAGGGGTTTTTGTGTGAAGAACACAAATATATAATCAGACTTTCCTCCTGTTCACACAATGGCTCTTGATCTCTCTGATGTTGACTGTGATCAGTTTTCACTGAACTTTTCTTCCTCCGCTTGGATACCAGTATGGATTTCCACATACACACACCTCTCATTGAGCTCCTTTCGGCGCTGGTACACCATTTTCATCTCTTCCTTATTCTCTCTCTCCAATTGTGCGGCAAGGGCACTGATAGCTTTGATGTGAGCATCATCCACCGTCATCCCCTATAACATCAATGTCAAAGAGATACAGATTGCTTTAGGCAGCAAATGATAACCCCAACTCTTTGTCCCTTTAAGGATCTCTACACAGAGGCTAGGTGTATCTGCCTATTTCCAAAGAGAAACATTTGCTCAGTGCTATATAGATATATGTCTCCAAATGTCTTCAGAAATGTGCTGGTTAAAGAGCCCAGAAAAAGTGAGTAAAGGTAAAGGTTCCCCTTGACATTTAGTCCAATTGTGTCCAACTCTAGGGTGTGGTGCTCATCCCCATTTCCAAACCGTAGAGCCAGCGTTTGTCCATAGACAGGTTCTGTGGTCACGTGGCCAGCGCGACTAGACATGGAACACCGTTACCTTCCCACCGTGGTGGTACCTATGTATCTACCCGCTTTTTTACATGCTTTCGAACTGTTAGGTTGGCAAGCCCTTTGGCTAGATAGTCCAATTGGTCAGTTTCACTTTCTCCCACATTCAGTTTTCTAAATAAAAAACCAAAAACAGCAAAAAAAATTTCCATCAAGTATGTGAAGAAATGTGCAAAATGAAGGAAATTCTTATAAAAATGAATAAACTGTTACATCCCCTACTGGAGGAACCATGAATCATGGTTCATGAAACTGAAGCAGCATGGGGGCTAGGTGCTTGATAATTCTGATTTACTAAGCCAGAGTTCCCTGTTATGTCAAATATGAGATAAACTAACCAGGAAAGAAAGCCAGGACCACTGGTTTATTAGGCAACATTAAGCAGTGCTAAGCACATTGCAAATGTGATGAGGAATTACAAGCCAAATACGTTCCAGAATTGTCGTCTTTGGACCGTGTATATTGAACAAGACGGGCAAAGGGAGATTGTTTAGTCCAAATAGTTGTTCTTAGCTACATAAACCATGGTTCCAATGATTGTCTGAATCCAGTCCAAGGTACACACAGGCAAACAAAACACATCTTACAACACAGCAACCAATTACGTATCAAAGGATTAGATTTTAAATGTTTTAGGGCAGTGGCCCCCAACCTTTTTGGAACTGCGGACTGGCTGGGGGGGAAGGCTCTGTGCACGGGCGGGGACAGGGGCACCCCCACACTCACAGGTGGGTGTGTTGTGCTCATGGGAGGCATGTCACACTTGCGGGGGGACATGTCATGCTCACAGGGGGGCGTGTCACACTTGTGCGCATGCTGTGCATGCGTGGGGGGGCAGAGATACTTCTCCACAGCCCAATCCTGGGAAGTCCATGGACTGGCACCAGGCCACGGACTGGGGGTTGGGGACCCCTGTTGTAGGGGACTGAAACCACAAGAAATGTATGCCTAAATAATGAAAAAGGTTCAAGGGCACATCAATATTTGACATTCTCTAGAAACCACAAAGTTTGTCTGTTTCACCATGCAGCAGTACACACTGTGTCACATACTGTACAAACTGTGAATGGAAATATTAATTTATAACTTGTAACACACAGTTTACATTATGATGAACACCTTTTCCTACAAAAGAGCCATAAAGACAAAATAATTCCATTTTACTATTCAAATATTTTCCTTTGCAATAAGTATAACTCACACAAATGCAGGGAAATATTCATCATGGGTTTAGCAGAGTTACCATAATAGGAGACAAGCAGTCTGTTAAAATTGCATTGATTCCCTGTGCACTTTATGAAACAGTTGTGACGTTGCTATTTATTTATTTATTTATTTATTTATTTATTTATTTATTTATTTATTTATTTATTTATTTGATTTATATCCCGCCCATCGGGTCTGTTTTTCAGTTCAAAACTGAAAGAAAGTCCTTAAGGGATTTTACGCAAAGCTTAATTCACTTTTTTCTTTCTTTCCTGGAGGCACTAACTGAAAGCTTCTGAATATTCCATTATATAAGGATCTTGCTCCTCAGGCAAAGGAGTTGTCATACTCAGAGAATACATGTGGAGGAATCATTTCAGGATCAACTTACATTCCGGTGATGCCCAGATTGTCCTCCTCGAGTTTATACCAAAAATAAGAAGACTTTGTGTACCCCGTCCTCTCTTTGTAGCTCTAGCCTAGGACAGAGTGGGAAGGGGATGCACATGCTACACAAAGGCTTAGATTTCATATTTAGCTGCTAATCAAATTGCTGATTTATTATGCCAGAATCATTAATCCTGTAGCATGCAACAGGCTTAACAAGAAGCAGACAAGGATCAGAAAGGATGGCAGTGGTAGGGTGGGGTACAGGAGGGGCCTGGGAAGAGGAACACAGTGCTCAGGAGTGGAGCCACAGTTGCCCCCAAGGGCTTGACTTACGCTGTAGTTTAGGAAGGTGCCCAGTATGGTCATAAATCCATTGGGTATAAGTTGCATTGTATTCAAAGGGATAGATAGTTGAGGAAGGTGTGCACTCAATACAGCTTTGTTTTATGTGCTCGATGTGAACGATGTTTATGGAGACACACAGAAACGTACTGACACATACAGACACATTCCAGCGATTCTCCACCAAGAGCGTATAGGTTGTCTCTGATCTTCCTTTAGCAAAACCTCCCAAGCCTCTCCCTATCCCCAGACACAGTCACACTTGAAATACAAAATGAATACATCGGTTTGAGAGAGTGAAGGCTTTTTTGAAGGGAAAAAAATAAGGATGATTTGGTAAGACAATAAATAATGCTGTTCCTGTACATGGATTTCTTAAGTTGCTCTGAGGTCAAATATGCAATACACATGAGCAGTAAAATACAGTGTGTTTTTACAGGGTGGGTTCTATGCAGCCCCCCAGAGTATCTTTGTGCCCCCAAAATGCTAACAGCTCCAGAGCCTTTGATTTAACTTCATTCTTTGCTCAGGAAATCCCTTGTCCCTTTGTGCCTTCTACCGGGTTTGGAGGCGATGTCGCCATTTTGTCAGGGCTACTGGTTTCCTGGGCCTCCAACGTGATACTAGAGGACACAACTGGACTTTTGCAGTAAATGTAACTTCAGTCGGCTAAAATTAAAATGCTACATATTGTGGGCTTTTTGGGAAATGTATGTATGTAGGCTCTTGGTTAAAGTTGTTTTTCAGTTCATGAAAACTCATTGTAACAAACTTTACAAAAAATGTTAAAAAAAACCACCCCTAACTATGCATATCAGTTTGTGTTGTTGCACCCATCTCCTTCAGTTCCTCCAAACTGGGAGTGTAGCCTCTGTTGTCAGCAAATCTGCAAAATGAGCATTACTCCTGGTGAGATTGCCTATCCATGGTCTATAGCAGTGGTTCCTAACCTTGGGTCCCCAGATGTTCTTGGACTACAACTCCCAGAAATCGTGAGCAGCACAACTAGTGGAGAAGGCTTTTGGGAGTTTAGTCCTAGAACATTTGGGGAGCCAAAGTTGGGAACCCCTGGTCTACATCATCATATATGACAAGCACACAGAAGACCACCTTGCAGCATGCATGTGCCTTAGCTGTAGCAGAACTGCCAAGCTTGGAAATAATGTATCAAGTTATATAGAACTACTTCTGGGGTAACAAGGGTTAGATGAAGATACCTTTCAAAATAATGTAACCAGTTAATACGAAGCTATTCCATATGTATTAAAAATAATATGTTCTTACTATTTCCAGATGTTACTTCTAAAAAGTTTTTTTTTAAGATATTTGGACTCTTTTCTTCAATGTGTTATGCCATTCATCAATCTGAAGGCCCCCCCCCAACATGTAACAGAAAATGACTAAAAGGAACAAAAAGTAATGCAAGAAGCTACTTTTTCAGAAATGACAACATATTATTTTCCAAAGCCTGTAACAAGTAACAGAAACATAGTTTAAGAGTACCTTTGCAAGTTCTAAGCTGTAGTGATCTAGTACAGTGGTCCCCAACCTTTTCTGAGTTGCGGACCAACTAAGGTTTGTTCGCTGGGGGGCACCCACCCATGCTCATGGAGGGGCAGAGTGCGCTTGCTGGCATGCGTGAAGGAGCAGGGTGCACTCATGGAGGGGAGGGGGCATGCTTGCAGATGGGCGGGGCATGCTTGAGGGTGGATGGCGGGCCATGCATGCAGGTGGGGCAGGTGGGGGGAGTGCTCACAAGGAGGGTGGGAAATCTGTGGCCACGGCCCTGTCCTGCCATGGCCACGGACCATCACCGGGCCATGGACTGGGGGTTGGGGACCCCTGATCTAGTATAGACAAACATAGTGGTAAAATATGATGGTGAGCAAGGTTTCCATTATACAGTACTCCTACATCTATCCCCCACATATCAAAAGATTTTCATATAAGAAGTCATCTTCAGCAACAGAAGCCTGATTTCCATTACATCAGTGAAGATTCAATCTCTACCATCATACTTTCATTACACTATAACTGGGTGCCATGGCCTTTACCAGTCTGCTGTAGTCATTAAGTTTCCTGTAGAGCTCATAAGGGACCAAGAAAATTTTAGTCTTGTCGAGTCTGGCTTTGCTGATTTCCTGTAGTTGAAACAGGACTATTTGGGCATCCTGCCCAGAACTGACATATGACTTTTCACTCATATTTTGAGAAGTGAAAAGCACTATGAAAAAAGTTTTTTTTCCTGGGGTCTCTGGTTTTTAAGGATTATTAATGTACACTACAAACTTTCCATCTCCCACTAGGGGTTAAGAGGATCAGGCAAAAATGAACAACAGTACATGGAGAAATGGAAGACAACTGAGGGGACCTGTAAAGAAGGAAAATTATAGCAGACTAGTCTATCTTCAAACTGCCCATATGTTTCCATGTGCAGCCTGCCAGAAAACAGATACCCTTTTCCCACTCTATTTTGCCTCTGAAAGTCTGCAGTACAAACCAAGTGGATTAAGGCAGCTAAGAAGGCCCCCCTCACCAGGCAGTGACTGGCTGCAAGTGCTCAATATAGTTCATCATCCAACTTAGCAAAGCCACAGGGGCCTACTGGACAAGTCAGACGTGATGACTCACCATCATATATGCGAACTGGAGAGATTGGAACAGAGAGATGAAACAAGCAGCTGTCATGTCATGCTGACCTTGCCCAAATTGTTACTATATTTTTCTAAATGTTAATGTTGTTTTGAAAGCTAATCTTGCCAGGAACGTATCATATTACCTTAATTATATTAAATTCAGTATATTATGCTCATTAAGAAAAGGTATCAGATATTAAAAGATGAAAGGGTTTGGCCACTGTGAATTCAATCTTCTGTAAATTAGATATACAAAACATATAATCAAGTTTTAGTTCACCAGAGCTTGAATTACGGCTCAGTTTTAATCTCTATACTTTGTACATTGACGTTAATAACAATTGTCCTTACGGCCAGCACAAAGACGTAAACCCAATGGCTAGTTGCAACTAAAGCAGAGCCATTGATTCAACTGCTGGACAGTAAGTCAATGCTTCTCTAAATTGCATTGATTCTGTCTTGTTGGGACTAGGCTAGCCAATGGATTTAGGCCATGAAACACAGATGGCATTAAAAACACTCATTAGGAAAATCTCTTAGGGGGTCTGAGGGCCCAGATATATTGACAAGGTTGTTTGAAAGATAGAAGATCATGCTGATACGCTACCCATACTTTATGTACAGTATTTGCTGTGAGAAAAGAAACATAAATATATGTAACAAATGCTTTAACAAGCATGAAAGGCAAACAGTCTTCTACTGATCTGCATTCAGTTCACCCTTAGTACCATATTCTAATGTTATACTAATCCCTGTGGAAGGGATTGTCACTCTCAAATTGGCCTTCTCAGCCACACCAGTCGCTGTTCCAAGTACTCCATTCAGAGCACATTACCATAGTATATACCATACCATGAGACTGAGGGATGCCTAATCTAAACTAATTTACACTTGGGCAATATTTACATGCTGAAAAAGTAGACACTATCCAGACATCAAAGCTAAGCAAAGCTGAGTTTAGAAAAGTGTTTCTTACTCCTGACACTCCTCGAAACTCATTCAGTTTTTTCATGAGCTGCAGACAGTGTTCATAGTCATTTCCAACATCGCCAACATTAATCATAACTTCCTAGGAAAAGTCAAACAGTAAAATTAGTATTCTATTTATTATTTTGTACATTGTACATTCAGAATATTGACAAATCCCATTCTCCACAACTTAGATAGACCTTTTCACACTGCCCTGGCTAGCAATACCATTTTGGGAATAGCAATCTGCTTTTTAAAATGCTACAATGAATTTTATCTCATTGCACGTCATTATGAAAGGTCCTGCTCACAAATATTTCGAGTTTCCTGCAGAAGTTGATGGAAAGAGTAACTATTGAGTTCCATGGGAAGGTAGGCTGGCCCCATCTTTGCTGTCCTTCTGCAAGCAGGTAAAGAACTTTCTCTTCAGGCAGGCTTTCCCTCAGTGATTGGCTTCCAGGAGTGGGGTTTTTTAATGGATGGTTGTGCTCTGTTGTTTTAAATGTGTTTTAGTATTGATTTTATTA